AGGGCAGCCGCTGCCTGCCTGCTGCCTGCCCGCTGCCCGCTGCCTGCCCGCTGCCCGCCGGGCAGGGGCTCCATGTCCCGGCCAGGGTCAGGCACCAGCCAATGGACCGGGCACCTCCTGCCTCAGTTTCCCCATACCCATCACGGCCGCGGGGTGCGAGGGTGCCAGGCCCATGCCCGCTGCATCGCCGACACCGTGCCGGGCTTGGGGATGACGAGGCGGCTGCTTCCTCCCCCCCGCCAGCCAGGGCAGCACCCATCCTCCCCCCGCTGCCCCATTTGGGCCGGGGGCGAGGCAGGCTGGCGCTGGGGAGAGCTTTCCGGCTGAGCGGAGGCGGCCGGCTGCGCGCCAGCCCGTTCTTGCCCGGGGTGGGCACCTTGAGACCAGTAGGGAGAGACAGAAGGAGAGGATTTCGGTCTTTCTTACAGCAACTTGTAATAGATTTTTTCCGGGCGAAACATCTTTGCATTCAGGAGGCCCTGTCACAAGCCATCAGCCTCAGCCGGGGAGAAACAGATGGAGAGTTAATTTTGGCGGGGAGGGCACGGCCGCGCTCCCCTCCGCTCCCCTCAGTCTGTTCAGGGAGAGCAGAGGCAGGGTTCAACCCTCACGGCCGCGCAGCCCCGTCCCTCGTCTCTGCGGGCAGGCTGCCTGCGTGGGCCCTGCTCCCTCCTGCCCGCTCCCTCCCGGGGGCGCCGGGTGGGTTGCGTGGCTAAAACCGCTGCCTGTCGCCGTCATGGGGCTTCCCACGTGCGCGCTGGGTCCCCCCAGCCCAGCTCCGTGCTGCTCAATGCCAAGGACACGCTCGGACATCTCAGCCCAGTGACCCGGCGGTGGCCCTTGTGATGGTGGCTGCGTGGCCAGCCCAGCGGGGCAACGGCGTCCTGCCTTCCCCACGGGGCGACGGCCTGGTGAGCCCTGTGCCCGCCAGCCTGCTGGGGCAAACTCCACCATGCCAGGAGCTCGGCAAGGCAGCGCCCGGTGCAGCCGAGGGCACAGGGTGGGCTGGTGCGTGGAAAGGACAGCATCTCCCAGGAGCTGGCGGTGGACGGCAGCAATGCTGCCCGTGGCCCCGAGCCGCCGGGAGCCCTCAGGACACCCCCAGGGTCGCCAGCCGGGCAATGGCCCAGAGCAGTGGCCATGGAGGAGAGGGAGGTGAAATCAAGCCGTAACTGTGCGTGATTCACAAGGGTTGAGCCAGCACCAACAGCATTATAATTACATATAATTGTGTGTCAAAAGATATCACTGTATTTGACACATCAGCTTCGAAGCAGGGTGTTGCTTCGTCAGTAAATTCGTCATCCCTTGACTCTATCACATCTTACAGCTGAGGTCTGAAGGAGGAGATGGGGACAGGCAGTGAGAGCCGTGGGTTGGATGGGAAGGACAGACAGAAGGATGGACAGCATGACTGGGGAGAAGGAGGAAGAGTGCTGTCGTACAGACCTGTATGGACGGCACAGAGGCTGGGGCACGTGTGCGACAATGAAGGCAGCAAGCAGGCAGGGGCTGTCCTGCCGGGCCCTGGCAGGGCTGTCAGACCCCAATCACAGACTCACAGAATCACAGAATCGTTGAAGTTGGAAAGGACCTCTGAAGTCATCGAGCCCAACCGTTACCCTAACTGCCAGGCCACCTCTAAACCCTGTCCCTCAGCACCACATCCACACGGTTTTTGAACACTTCCAGGGACTGTGATTGCACCCCTGCCCTGGGCAGCCTGGGCCAGGGCCTGACCGCTCTCTCTGGGAAGAAGTTTTTCCCAATATCCAACCCAAACCTGCCCTGGTGCAGCTTGAGGCCGGTCCCTCTCGTCCCATCGCTTGTTCCTGGGGAGAAGAGACCGACCCCCCCGGCTCCAGCCTCCTTTCAGGCCGTTGCAGAGAGCGATGAGGGCTCCCCTCAGCCTCCTCTTCTCCAGG